GTTGCCAGCCCTACCTTGATTCAAAAGGACTGGGGATGTAGCTGTAGAGCAGGGGTAGCATGTGTAAGCATCCAGGTTCCGTCCTCAGCACCCAGGGTTAGGGGAGAGAACTAGGTTGGTCACAACTTGTATATGCATTAGAAAACGGTTTTTGAAAACCCTTCAGAGAACAACCAATCTCCCCACCCCAAATCACTATGGATGCTTGCTTAGACAGCCTTGTGACTGTACACCTATCATTTAAATATGAAATCTGGTTCTGGAGAGATGGCTCAGTGGTTAAGAGCACTGACTGCTCTTCCAGAGGTCCTGAGTTCAATTCCCAGCAACCACATGGTGGCTCACAACCATCTATAATGAGATCTGGTGCCCTCTTCTGGCATGCAGGCATACACGCAGGCAGAACACTGTATACATAATAAATAAAAATACTTAAAAAAGAGGAAAAAATAAATATGAAATCTATTCCCACATAGATACAATTACACATGGTCTTGAGAAATATGCATCTCACAAGCACATACATGGTTTTCCCCTATCTGAATATTTACAACTTGTCTACGGAACACCAAACACAAGAATTAACGGCACAGCCGACAACGAGATGACCCCTCAGTTCTGAAACGTCCAAGTTGTCTCTACAGCCTTCGGCGACGCCAGTCAAACCCAGGGGCAACTTTGAACCGATCTCCACAGTTTCTCCCCGTTATCTGTTGATCTCTAGGTTTTTTCCTTTTCTTTTCTTTTCCCATTGGTAATTCTTAGACTTCATCTTTGCAAAACCATCATTCTTTATAGTGATGCAACCTTGAGTTTCCACAAATGCAGGGTGGGGTGGGGAAAGAGAAAGATCGCTAACGGTCACAAGGCAGACATCAGAAGAGTCTTCTCTGCTGGCCAGCTTCAAGCCTCCAGTGTCCCCCTCCTCCTCCTGGTCCTGCTTCACCCCACCCTGCCCGTGCCTCAGCTCTGCTTGGACTTCCCACCTCAGGATATTTGCCCAGGCTTCTTCTGCCTTTGCCCGTGACCCTCAGAGTCACCTGACTTCCTGGCCATCAATCTTTTTCATTTTCATTTATTTATTTATTTTTTAAAAAAGGCAAGAGTCTCCTGTAGCCCAGGCTGGCCTCCGTCTCGCTCGGCAGCCAAGGAGGAGGGAAGACCTTGAGCTGGCGATCCTCCGTGCCTCCCTGC